ACAGCAGGAGAAAAGTAAAGAAGTATTTGAATACTAGAGATTGAGTATCCATATTGTAGCAATCAGTCATTCATCAACTTGCTAAACATTTGGGTTCTTTCAATTTTTTGTCTATTAATAATCATTCTATTATACAAATATGTATACAAGTTTTTGAATAGACATAAGTTTTTATTTAGTGAGTAGACTACCCTTATAAAAATTGGTTGGTTATGTGGTAGCATCGTGTTCAACATTTGGAGAAAATGTCAAGCTGCTTTCCAAACCAGCTGCATTGCTTTACACTTCCCACCAGCAGTATAAGAGGATTCCAATTTCTCTACATTCTCGGCAATGCCTATTATGATTTTTTTTTAATATAGCTGTATTTAGTGGGTATGTAATAATATATCCTCATGATTTTGATTTGCATTTTCCAGATATCTAACAATGCTGAGCATTTTTCCATCTCTCTTTCCATCTATTTATATATCTTATTTGAAGAAATGTATTCTAAATTCTTTGGTCATTTGTTAACTGAATTATTTGTTTTTTAGTATTGAGTTTTTAGAGCATACCAATATTTATATGTGTATCTATGGCTATAGATATGTAGGCATCTAACATACAATTTCCTTACTAGATTCATGATTTGAAAATACTTCTTTTGCCATTTTGAGTTTTCTCTACTTTCTTTATTTTTTAAAGCAAATTATTTTTAAATTTAATTAAGTCCATTTTTATAAATATATATTTTACCTTTTGTTGTTGTCATTAGTGTTTTTGACATTATAACTAAAAAAAATTTCCAACCCAAGGTCACTTATGTAAGGGTTGCTTATGTTTTTTCCTCTAATTGTTTGATGGTTTTAACTCTTAAACTTAAGTCTAAGATTCATCAATTTTTATATGATGTAATAAACGGGACAAAATTAATTCTTTAGCACTCATTAATTTATATATAATATAGCAAATAAGACCAAATTGATTCTTTAACATATAGTTATCCAGCTTTTCCAGTATCATTTGCTGAAGAAAATTCATTCCCACTGAATTTTCATAACATACGTCAAAAAACAACTTACTGTAAGTGGAAGGTGTTATTTCTGGCCTGTTAATTCTATATTAATGAAATCTATGTTCATCATGATGCAGTTCCACATAATCTTGATTAGTGTGACTTTGTAGTATGTTTTAACATCTGAAAGTGTAAATCTTCCAACATTGTTCTCCTTTATGAAGAATGTTTGGGGTGGAAGGGCTTAAAGATGGCTGACTAGGTGCTCCTGATACTCTCCTCTTCCACAGAGAGAAACTAAAATAGCAATGAGATAATCACACTTAAAATATATTATCTAAGAGAGAACACAAGAATTTCACAGAGCAGTGATGGGAAATACTGAAAACAAGGAAGGAGGGAGAAGCGAGATGGCCTGCTATGATGGAATTGGCTAGGATTCTAGAGAAGCTCCCTAAAGCAGTCACAGAGTGAGAGATTTAGCGGCACACATTCCTACTGCTGTCTCCTACAATCCTAACCATGGGAGAGGACCGCTACTCTCTCAGACCCTGCCTGGACACTGCCCAATGACATTACTACAGAGAGGGAACTCATCCTGAGACCCACAAACCCCCAGATTTTAAGCAGCTGCAGCATGGTGCCATTTTGAGAGACCAGTCCATTAGGTCCTGTGCTGGAGCACAACAAACTCTACATTTTCACATCCCTGGAGCCCCATTGATATTCCTGGCCCACAGTTAAGGCTGTCAGCGCTGAGGCAGGAGTCACTGGAAATCAACCCATCTCCCACAATAGAGAGGCAGCCACACATTTTTATGTGCCTTGAGGACAAGTGCCACTACCTGCTGCTATAGGCTACAAAAACATGACAGATCACTCAGTATGATAGACTCTAAGTTCATAAAAGTTGCTGCAAAGTCTGTAATTTTGTGTTTCTTTATGCCTGCATAATGTTCCATTGTAAACACATTTTCATTATTCAGTCTACTTTTGATGGGCACCACAATTGGTTCCATGTTTTTGCTATTGTTAATAATGTTGCAATAGACATGCATATATAGATATCTTTTTCATAGAATGCTTTGAGTACATCTGGGTATATTCCTAGCAGAGGGAATATGGAGAGTATATGGAGTATATGGAGAGTATATGGAGAGAATATGGAGAGTATATGGAGAAGAGGGAATAAGCAGAGGGTCATATGGAAGGTCGATTTTTAGATGTTTTAGGAATCACCACATTGTTTTCCGAGGTTTTATTAATTTACAATCCCATCAACAATGTAGAAGTGTTCCTTTTTGTACACATCCTCTCCTGCATGTGCTGTCTTTCGAGTTATTAGTGATGTCCATCCTGACTTGCATTAGGTGGCATCTCAGTGTAGTTTCAGTTTGCATCTCTTTGATGATCAGTGAGGCTGAGAATTTTTAAATCTATCTCTTGGCTGCTCATATGTCTTTTTCTGAGAAGTATCTATTCATATCTTTTGCCCCTTCTTAATAATGGGCAAAACTCTTTTATCATATTAGAGTTCCTTGTAGATCCTGGATGTTAGGCCTTTGTCAGATAGACAGTTGGCAAATATTTTTCCCATTTTGTGGGCCGTCTCCCGATTTTCTTGATGGTTTCTTTTGTTTTACAGAAGATTTTCAGTTTGATGACGTCCCACTTGTTTATTTTATCTTCCATGGCTTTCGCTTTTGGAGAATTGACCAAGAATTGATTGCCTACTCCAATGTGCCTAAGAGTGTTTCCTACATTTTCTTCTAGGATTCTTACAGTTTGAGGTTTTACATTTAGGTCTTGATCCACTTAGAGGTGAGTTTTGTATGTGGTGATAGGTAGGGGTCCTGTTTTAATCTCCTGCATGTGGTCAGCCAGCTTTCCCAGCACCATTTATTAAATAGGTTCTCCTCTCCTCAGTGGTTTTGGTGGAGACTTTATCAAAGGTGAGTTGATTGAGAAACTGGGGTTTTGCTTCTGGAATATCTATTATGTTCCATTGGCTTATATGCCAGTCTTGTACCAATACCAGACTGTTTTAATTATTGTAGCCTTGTAGTAGAGTTTAAAGTGTGGAAGTGTGATATCTCTCTCTTTGTTTCTTATGCTAAAGATTGTTTTGGCAATAGGCGGTCTTTTATGTTCCCATGTGAATTTCTTTATTGTCAGTGAACTAATCAATAAATAATATATATTATTCCTTTCTGTCTTTTTTGCAAACATAAATTTTATTAAATACTTTGTAAGTTCCTGCACCTGACTTACTTGTTGTTGACATTATGTTTTCAATACCAGTCCTTGTTGAAACATCTATGTAGCTTATTTGATTTAAATTCTGCATAGTTTTTAATAATATTTTGTTTATTATTTTATAATTCTAGTCCCATTTATATATCTCTTTTTCTGTGAAAATTTTGGTTAGTTTTCTCTCCTTAATTTTTTAATTTTGAATTGACTTTTGTTCCCTGAATTATAAATGGATATTCTATGATAATTCTGGTAAGTATTCAATTTCACCACACAACCTTTGACTTCACACCAACGATTTCAATGAAGTTGAACTTCATTTTCAGCTACTTTGAGCTTCCTTAGACATCAGTTCACATCTAATTGAACTTTGAGACTTTGAGGAGGGACTCCCCCACCAAAGAAAAGAATTTTTATTTTGAAAGGCCAGTCCCTTGTAGTGCAGGCTTTCTTTGCTAGGTAAGTGTTATAGGAACTCATTGATATTAGTGTACCAGCTAGTGTTGCCGTGAGAAGTTACGTTTGGCTTCAGCAAGTTTTTTCCTTTGAGATCATCAGTTTTTGACCAAAAATGCCATGACTCCCATTCTCCACGCACCCTATTCACCCAATCTCAAACCAAGTGACTTTTTTGTTTGTTTGTTTGCCCTGAATTTAAAAAGTCCTCAAGGGAAATGTTTTGTCAACGTGGAAGAGGTAAAACAAAAAACCACAAAAGGCATCAACACTGACGAGTTGAGCAACTTCTGTAAGCATGGAAAAAGTGTCTTGATAGGTGTCCTGCATCAAGCAGACAATACTTTAAAGATGACTGAAGTTTAAACGTGTGGGAATAAATACACAATTTTTAAAGAAATAAATACTGGGGTTTTTAGGTTCATTTATTACCTGTATTGTGTTTGGTGAAACTTTGCTGGTCATGTTCGTTTAAATTGATGGAACTGATAACCCTTTCTTCTTGAAGTAGATCTTGAAAAGTTCATGAGCTTAGGAGAGAGGAAAGAACCATCTAAAGCCACCAGCACATTGTCCTTTAATTAGCTGATTATTCCCAACTCCCACCCATGCCGAACACCAAAGAGAGGGCTCCAAATTTGTAGATAGTAGAAGGAAATGTACTCTTTGCATCCCTTTCTGTGCTGCTAAGGCGCAGGTACACTGATACTTGTCTCCTGCTAGAAAAGAGCAAAGTCCACTTTGGACTTGGACAGTCTGCCAAATCATTTGCGGGAAGGGGCACCTCCTCTGTGACCACTCCCAGCGTGTGCCAGGAAAGGCCTCCTGCTCAGGCCAGATTGTCCTGATGTCAGTGCCCTATGTAAGCCCACTGACCTTCACTCCTTGCCCCTCCTGTACCTTACATGACGTGGCTCTTCTCTCAGACCCTGCTATAAAGCTCCTGCCACTGTCTGGCCTGACAAGCCACCTCAGATTCAACCAGGAGGTAAGTGGGCTTTGCATGGGGAGGGCATGACTAATATGGGCTGCAAATCTAACATCGTTGGGAAGATACAGCATGAGTTTCTGTCCAAATTGCGTTAGCAGTAATGTAGCCTTAGTGCTAGCTAAAACTAGCACTTGGGCTACTGTATTCATATAATCCCCAAACTACTGAGAGAAATATTTGAGAGTACGGGTGTCTCACGTGGCTTTTCTGTTCTCAGGAGTTCCTAGGAAGGAGGGCTATATGAAAAGTAATAATGGTCCCCTCACCACTTCTTAGAACTCTCTTCCTTGTGTTCTGCTGTAGAGATTGTTGGTTTGCTCCATAAGAAAGAGATTCACTGCTTCTCAGCATGGCTCAGACTAAATTATGCTTGATGCTGATCTCCTCCCTGATGCTCCTGTCTCACGGCCAAGGTGAGGTATTTTTTCCCCCTTCATCCACCACCTTCCACAGTCATAAAGTCTTCACTCCAAACTCATGAATATGGGTTCACTGGAAAAAAAGTAGAGTCAACATCAGAGGTTGCTTTGTGATATTTGAAGATCTTTATTGCTGATCTCATCCCATTCAGTACATCTATTTCATGAGTTACAGAATTTTAAATGGCCCCTTTAAATTGCTAATGTTGTTGACATTTGTTTATCTGATAAATGTGTACAATGGTAGGTTTAGGGATATTGTATGCGGAGAGTCATTAATGCAAAGGAGAACTGAGGAGAGCCTTGTGTGCAGGGAAATTAAGACAGGCTTCAGAAAGGTAGAAGTTTGAGTACTTAAAAACAGAAGTCTGAGTTCCAGGAATTAAAGGGGGAAATGGGGACATCTTTCTTTAGCTTATTTATGATAGACTTTTGTCTTGAGCAAAGAAAACCTGAGTAAAAAGATGCAGGACACCGGAAGGTGGAAATGAGTAGGTATCCCATGACCCACATCATCCTTATGAGCCTATAAAGGACCCTCAGAAGCTTCCCCTTCATCTTCAACCTATTTGTGCCCTGACACTCTCCTTTATTGCCCCTCCTTTTTCAGCCCAGGAGGTCCAGACAGAGCTGCCCAATGCCCGGATCAGCTGTCCTGAGGGCACCAATGCCTATCGTTCCTACTGTTACTACTTTAATGAAGACCCTGAGACCTGGGTTGATGCAGATGTGAGTGACCACAGATGTGGGAAAGGAAGGGGAGGATTACGAAGGTAGAGGCAGCTGACACTCTCCTGTGTGCTCAGTGGCTGCCACGAGGGGAGATTGATTTCCCCCCATCCCATCTTAACCCCAAATTTTCAAATTTACTTTGTCTTATCATCTGGTACATTCTCAGCACAGAGATGCCAGTGAGTGACAACATCAAGAACATTTTTGTGCTGAACTTGTCTTGCCACATCCCTAGGAGGACTCAGTTGATCCCTTAAAACTTCTTCCTCCATTAAGTACTCATTTTCTTTCCCAACAGCTCTACTGCCAGAACATGCATTCGGGCAACCTGGTGTCTGTACTAACTCAGGCCGAGGGCACTTTCGTGGCTTCGCTCATTAAAGAGAGCAGCACTAATGACTGCAATGTCTGGATTGGTCTCCATGACCCCAAAAAGGTCAGTCTGCAGCCTTCTTTATCTCCCAATAATCAGGCTTAAGAGGGAAGTAGAGGAAGCCAATCTGGTGTTTTAAACACCAGTTTTTATTGTTTTCTATAAAAGCAACCTTGCTATAGATCTCATTTGTCCTGACAAATAACATTCATTGTTGGTGGTGGTAGAGATGAGCTGAGGGCTGAATTTCCCGAGGTTCTAGGCATTCCTTCTGTCTTTTGCTAGCAAAATATCTTATATATGCCACCTCTTACTTTTTCTTATTGTCTGTGTCACAACAGAGCCCTTTGCAGACTATATCAAAAAAGAGACTAGGAGTAGATAACCTACTGCTGGCATTTGAAAGCCTGGTGTTTTAATAAATATCAACAGCTCATGGGCAGCCAATAGCATGTTGGATGTGAAAACACTATGCTTCAGGAAAGAAAATTCAGGAATCACTTTGTATAAGGGGGGTTTTATGAGTCTGTGTATCTGATTCACAACATTGATGTGATGGAACCCTGGGAAGGAGTTCTACGTTCTAGGAAAGGAGACTCTTAGAAAATGCATATATAAGGATATGATATTTTGCAGGATAACCATGTTTATTCTTCCTATATGTCTTGGCATGTTCCTGAGTGTGCACACAGGCCCAGGGTTGCTATCTCTTTCTGTGTGACCCCCATCCCTGTTCTATCGCTTCTCCCACTAGAACCGCCGCTGGCACTGGAGCAGTGGGTCTATGGTCTCCTACAAATCCTGGGAAACCGGAGCCCCAAGCAGGGACAATCCAGGCTACTGTGCGAGTCTGACTTCAGGCTCAGGTGAGAGGCAGGGAACACATCCATCTGTTGCTATTCTCTCTGCTTAGCTGTGGAGAAAGACCTGGGGATGAGGATAGAGGAAAGGTGAGATCCTTACCCAGAAAATGGAGGAGTGTTTTCTTTGTGTCGTGTGCTGAGTCCTAAAGCCAGGAGGGGCCACTCTTTCTCTAGTCTCCATAGTCTGACTCTTCTCATTGGCATTTAGGATTCAAGAAATGGAAAGATATGGATTGTGAGGGAAAGCTCTCCTTTGTCTGCAAGTTCAAAAACTAAAGGCAGCTGGACAACGGATGTCTGCAGCTGGTCCTGCAGTTCCTGCGAAGTCAAAAATGAAACTAGAACATCTCTCCAACTCAGTCTGTACCATCTCTTTCCTGCTAGGTTTGCACTGCTAACCATCAGTACCTTTATCCACCCCAGTTTTGTTGCTCTAAACAACGAAAATAAACATGTTTATCTAACTGTGATGTCTTCTGTGCCTGCTGTTTTTGCAACCAATGTCTGGATGGTTGGGTTGAAAGTGACTGTAACACTCTAGAGCTTGCTTTGACCCATTCACTTTAAAAACTCCATGCCCATGTCAGGCACACTGGATCCCAGCATTATGAACAATGGTGACCTTGTTTATGAAAAGGTTAAGGAGATAAAGATTTACTCAAAACTCACCTACACTCCTACCTGAAAGGTAATTCTAGTTTGCTTCCAAATTACTTCAATAAAGCCAATATTGCCTGAAAGCAGCTAATACAATTCTTTTTGGTTTCCTAATGCATACAAGAACTTGGTTTACATGATGTTGTATACTATTACTTATGAAATAACATTATATCTAAAAATAAATGTAAATACTTTAATAAGATAGTACTTTAATGTTAAAAATACTAACAATTGTTTGAGCCTTCAGCAATCAGTAATATTTTGATGATGAAGGGTCTTGCCTCAATGTTGATGGCTGCTGACTGATCAAAGCAGTGGTTGCTGAAATAACAGTTCCTTAAAATAGGTCTACAGTGAAGTTTGCCTATTGATTTGATTCTTTCTTTCTGAAAGATTTCCTTGTATCATCTAGTGCAGTTTGATAATGTTTTACCCAAGTAGACACTTTTTTTTCAAAATTGGAGTCAGTCTTCCCAAACTCTGCTGCTGCTTTATCAACTAGGCTTATAAACTCTTCTAAATCTTGTGTTGTCATTTTCACAGTGTTCACAACATCTTCACCAGGAGTGGATTCCATTGCAGGAAACCACTTTCTTTACTCTTTTATGAGAAGGAACCCATCATCTGTTCAATTTTTATCATGACATTGCAGACGTTCAGTCACATCTTCAGGCTCCAATTTTTCATTCTAATTCTCCTGAAATTTATACTACAATCACAGTTACTTCTTTCTTGTTTTTTAATTTTTATTATAAAGATGTGGGGTACAGTTCAGGGTTAAGTATGCAAACATTGATCATACAGGTACCTCTGCTGATGAGTTATGCCCCTCCATCCCCTAGCAGTTTTCCTCAACTGCCAGTCCCACCACCCACCCGCCCCCGACAATTTCCCATTACTGCCAGTCACTTACTTATAGCATTATAATTGTTCAAAGTCCTCTTATGAGTGAGAACATATGGAACTCTTTTCTTTGTTTCTGTGATAAATCACTGAGTATGATCGACTCCAAATCTATCCAGGTTGCTGCAAAGTCCATATATTTGTCCTTCTTTATGGCTACATTATTTCATTGTGTATGTGTACCACATTTTTTTTTAATCCAGTCCAGCTTCGATGGGCAACATGGTTGGTTTCATGTTTTTGCTATTGTGAAGAGAGTTGTAATAAACATACGTGTGCAGATATCTTATTTGTAGAATAAATTGAGTTCCCACTTCTTTCATTGAAATCTTGAACCCCTCACAATCATTCACAATGGTTGGAATCAACTTCTCTGGAACTCCTGTAAATGTTGCTATTTTGATCTCCTTTCATGAATAACAAATGTTGTTACTGGTGTTTAGAATGGTGAATTCATTCCAGAATGTTTTCTTCTTCTTTTTTTTTTTTTTAGAAAGCAGGATTTATTGAAAGGACAGAAAAGCTCCCACAGTGGGAGGGGACCTGAAGGGGTTGCTCCCAGAAGGTTTTCAATTTGCAATGCCCAGATCCATCAGTGGAGTTACTACCTGCGGCAGCTTAGCCTTACAAAATGTATTTCTCTCTTTTTTTTTAGTTTTTATTATAAAGATGTGGGGTTCAATTCAGGGTTAAGTATATAAACATTGATCATGCAGGTACCCTTGTTGATGAGGGTACCTTAACAGTTTCACTCAGTTTCACTCAATTGCCAATCCCACCACCCATCCCCCTGACAATTTCCCATTATTGCCAGTCACTTTCTTATAGCTTTATAATTGCTCAAAGTCCTCTTATGAGTGAGAACATATGGAATTCTTTTCTTTGTTTCTGTGATAAATCACTGAGTATGATCGACGCCAAATCTATCCAGGTTGCAGCAAGGTCCCTATACTTGTCCTTCTTTATGGTTACATAATATTCCATTGTGTATCTGTATCACATTTTTAAAAGTATAGTCCAGCTTCAATGGGCAACATGGCTGGTTCCATGTTTTTGCTATTGTGACTAGAGCTGCAATAAACATGCATGTGCAGGTATCTTTTTTGTAAAACAATTTGAGTTCCTCAGGGTATATTCCTAATAGGGAAATTGTTGGGTCATATGGAAGGTTAATTTCTAGTTTTTTCAGAAATTGCCACACTGTTTTCCAAAGAGGTTGTAAAAGTTTGCATTCCCACCAGCAGTGTAGAAGTGTACCTTTTACTCCACATCCTCGCAAGCATCTGTTGTTGTTTGTTTTATTAATGATGGCCATTCTTATAGCGTTTATGTGGTATCTCAACGTGCTTTTGACTTGCATTTCTCTGAAGATGAGTGAGGCTGAGCACTTTTTCATGTGTCTATTGGCTGTCCATATATCTTCTTTAGAGAAGTGTCTATTTATGTCTTGCCCACTTTTTAATGGGGCTGTTTGTTTTTTTCCCCTTTGGTGTGTTTGAGTTCCTTGTAGATCCTAGATGTTAGGTCTTTGTCAGCTATACAGTTGGCAAATATTTTTTCCCATTCTGTGGGCTGTCTCCCTGTTCTCTTTATGGTTTCTTTTGCTTTGCAGAAGTTCGTTAATTTGATGAGGTCCCACTTGTCTATCTTATTTCTTAAGGTATTGGCCTTTAGGGTTCTGAATAGGAACTGGTTCCCAATTCCAATTTCCTTAAGAGTGTCTCCTGCGTTTTCTAAGATTCTTATAGTGTGAGGTTTTAGGTCTTTTATCCATTTACAGTTAATTTTGTGGATGGTGATAGGGAGAGGTCCTGTTTCAATCTTTTGCATGTGGTCAGCCAGTTTTCCCAGCAACATTTACTGAATAGGTTTTCCTCTCCCCAGTGGTTATTGTTGGAGGCTTTGTCAAGGATGAGTTGGTTGAAGAATTGAGGCTTTGCTTCTGGAATCTCTATCCTGTTCCATTGGTCTATGTGCCTGTTTTTGTACCAATACCAGGCTGTTTTCATTACTGTAGCCTTATAGTAAAGTTGAATTCTGGAAGTGTGATATCACCTGCTTTGTTTCTCTTGCTAGGGATTGTTTTGGCTATTGGTGGTCATGTAGCAGGAAAAATAGAGAGATCGTGACACCGAGACTATTATAGGAAGTGGCACTTTATTACACTGGCTAGCACTAGCACAGTGGGCCTGAGAATTTCATGCATTCAAATCAAGCTCGAGCACCCCAGAACAGGTGACCTGGGGTCTTATACCCTCATTTAGGTAAGGGAGGGAGTTGTGTTGAGTGATTACATATTTCCTTTGGAATCTTACAAGGTTGTACTCAGGAAAATCAGACTTTTCAAAGAACAAATGGTTTCCAGGAACTGCAGGATTGTAAACCGTCAACTTCAGAAGGGGGGTTTTAGATAAGACTCAGTGAATTAGCCACTCTTTTTGCATATCCATTAAACAGCTAGTCTTTGGGCTATTTGACCTTTCCCAAACAAAACCTGCCTGGCGCCTGGGCGGGTCTTTAAAGTTGCAACATGCCTTTCAAAAGGAAATACCTTTAACTACTATCAACTCCTTTCCTGCCCTGGGCTAGTGATTGCTATGAGGCCAACTGCTGACCCTGAACCAGCTACATGTTTCTGTGTTTATTCACTCAATCATACAAGAAATATATTTGAGCATTTGCCACATCCTGTCACAGTTATATTTCCATATGAATTTCTGTATTGTCATTTCCAGGTCTGAGAAGAATTGTGTTGGTAAATTAATGGGCATTGCATTGAATTTTTAAATTGCCTTTGGTAGGATGGACATCTTGACAATGTTGATTCTTCCAATCCATGAGCATGGAATATTTTTCCATTTGTTTGTGTCTTCTACAAAATGTATTTCTTAAATAATTTGACCTGAAAGTCATCAGATGTTGTTTTAGCAGACATAAGAACAGCATTGTGAGCCGGGCCCGGTGGCTCAGCCTGTAATCCTGTGCCTTTGGGAGGCTGAGGTGAGTGAATTGCCTGAGCCCATGGGATCAAGACCTGCCTAGACAGTGAGACCTCATCTCTACAATAAATCAAAAAATCAGCCGGGCGTGGTAGCACATGCCTGTAATTCCAGCTACTTGGAAGGCTGAAGTGGAA